AGGAGCCCTTTGCTACCACTGTAGAAGAGTCATAAGCACCTCTTCTGATACAGCTATGTATGGCCATCAGAGCTACAGCCCTTTCAGGCAGGTTTTCACATGGATTAAGCCTTCTGTCAAGTTATTCTTTCTCTTGGTCTGAGTATGCAAGATTTCCTTAGTCCTTTCCCCCTGTTTCTGCTGTCTAAACATCCAAACTAGGGACTGAGTATTTTAAAATCCAAATATTATGAATCATAGAAAATTACAGCTTGGAAGGGACCTTTGGAGGTTATTGGGTCCGGCCCCCTGCTCAAAGATGATTAACTTCTATGTTACAGGTTTCCACAGGGTCTTTTCCATTCAAGTTTTGAATATCTCCAAGGATAGAGAAACACAGATTTGCTGGGTAATCTGCTCCGGTGCTTAACTACTCTCAGTGGGAAAATTTTTCCTTTATGTCCAGTAGGAATCGACTATCTTGCAGCTGGGGATTGTTGCCTCTCATTCTTTGCTGTGTGCCTCTGGGAAGTGTCTGTCTCTGTCTTCTCCAATCCCTTTTAGGTAGCCCGAAGGGTTCAGTTTACCGCCCTTTTAGTTGCTTGTGTTTGCAGGTAATATTTGCATGCTATCAGTGCAGGCAGTGAAAAAACTGCTGGTAAAGAAAATACCTGTAAATCACAAGGGAACAATAGAAGAAGTGACTTAACATTAAATTGATGAAAATTGCTCATGCACAAAGTTATCAAGATGACATTTCTAAATAACATCCTTGTGGGAGGATCATTAATATCTTCCCTTACTGTGTCTCATAGGCTGGATGTTTATAAGAGCCTCTCTCTTTAAATTAAGTTTATTCAAAGCTTAAAAGAGGATTTCTATCCTTCCTTGGGAAAATGCAGCCTTTGGAGACTTCCTAAAAACAGTTCAGACTGAAGGGCTTTCCATGCATTTCATATATCAGAATATGTGGTATCTGAGAACCAAACTGAGAAAGTCCATCAGTTTACATCTTCTACTACTTGTGCTGCCAAACCTGAGCTAACAGATGCCACCACCACTTCTCCCATACCTAATTTTCCTCCTGGGATTACTGGTTGCTTAAAATAGGTATTATAAAGGTGATACGAACCACAAGAAATATGCCTGTGCGTGCAAGAGAGAATGTGTGCGTGTGTGTGTGTGTTTTGGGGAGTGTGGGAGAGAGAAATAGAATTCTTACTCTCTCCTCCCAAAAGAGCCCATGTCTCATGACAGGTTTGGTGAGTTACTTTGACCTTTAGGGTAGGAAGCAGCCCTGTGGCACAGGTCAGAGAGACACCTACCTTCTACTGTATGTCTGTGTTCCAAGTTCTCCATGCGTTTCTTGTTTTCTGCTTATAATGCCCTTCATCTGAGGGAGATCTCCTATTCTGAGGAGATTCTACCAAATGATGTGGAGTCATGACACAGACTGATTAGCTATTTGGCCATGTGAGTTCACAATGCTTGCAATGAAATAATAGCTACCAGCACCTCTCTTCTCTAGATGCTTCACTGGAAACTGGAAAGATCTTTTTAAAAATTATCTCTGTTGCCTTCATGATTTCTTGTCATCCAAGCATTACAGTTAGCTTAACTCAAACTCAGTAACTTTGGTAAGAAGCTACACAGGTTTTACTGTGGACAGCATGCTACTGAGAAACAGCAGAGATCATAATTGTAAGCTGCAATATTTAACAACACCCCAGCAAACTTCCAGTCCGGCAGCACTGCTAAATGATGTTTATCCCATAATCTCTCACTGAAGGACTGTATGAGTTAAGGAAATGTGATTTTTTTTTTTTAATGGTTTACAGTTTTTTTCCCCTTTAAGTTTTTATGTCATGAACTAGATCCTGGTCAACATCCCCAAGGATAATTTATCTCCCTGTCTACTTGGATTCCCAAGCAAGCATGGTCCAGCACTGCATCGGGCAGGAGTATCGTAGTTTTCTGTAGCTTCGTCTTTTCAGAGGGAAGAGAAGAGCCTGACCCGTTATGAGAGGGACTTTTTGAGGTGTTTATGATAAGCTTGCGTTGAACACACACACAATTTGATAGCCCAAGTCAGGACAAAGAATCATCATTTGAACTTTAGTTATGTGGTTACAGGGACATGTGGCAGCTTCACCTGCAAAAAGTGGACAGTAGAAATAGGAAATGAGACCGTATGCAACGTTTTACCCATGAGGACTTGTTTGGCCTGTAGAAAAATAGAATAAGGTAAATACTAACCTGTGTCATCGTTGTCGTCATCGTTCCCCCCCACCCACTCCACACAGCTCAGAGCACATACATACAGTGTCTGCCATAATCTCCTTTTCTAATCGTAGTTCATATTCTAATAATCCCTGTTCCTCCTTATAGCTGCTTGCATTCTAATACCTAGCCTTTTTTCCCCTCTTCCTCCTATGCTAGTGGTCAGAAAAATACAAATTGTCTGATGTAAGTAAAAGTACAACTCTTTGAGACAGAAGTAGCAAAAGAAAAGGTGCCCTGTGCGTGCAAGAACCTGTGTCTATGAGATCCTCAGCTGAACTCTGCCTAAGCAGCTGCTCTGCCTTGCGAGTCAGTGGAGGATTTCCATGGTGGTGTGGGTAACTTCTGGTTTTTTTCTTCAAGACCTGCTCAGCTGGCCTTTTACATACCCAGGTTCAGTTTTGGTTTGGTCTAAAATAATGACAGTTTTAGCATCTTACTTTACCTGATATTTTAGATAAGTTTTATCTTATAATACAGATATTTATCTCGTAATAGGGATTTATATCTTACGAGAGGGGTAGAAAAATTAGTTAAAGTGACATGTTTAAGAAAGTACAAATTAACATTGCCAACCCAGGCAAATAAATTCAGTCTTGGCTTTACTGCCTAAATATTGAAGAAGGTGATTTCTGAGGTATAGTTTCTTCCCACTCCCACCTACAAAAAGAATATATTCCTTTCTGGGTTAGTTTTCTTTACCTTGAACAGAAAGACTAACAGATATCCAGCTCTGTAACAAAAACAGAAGAAGATCCATCTATAAGAAGCCAAATTTTAATACTAGATAACGAAGAAAAATAGTTTTAAGAATATCATATGTGTAATTTATTTCACAATTGGTTTGTCACTTGTCAGACAGTTTCACCTGCATTTTCAGACAGCCCTGAAATGCAGGTGCATTAAATTAACCGGAATTGTCATCATCCATTCAGTTTGATTAAACATGTCGGTGATGTGGCAAAGTTAAAGCAATAGAGACCCTGGAAGGATAATGTCATTGTAAAAAAACAAAGTAACTAGAAAAAGTCAATGGAGAAGGCAGACCGGCATGGCTAAAGACAGTAAATTAAATCCTGCTTGGGAATCTGACCCTGATCCAGCAAAGCACTTAATCTTGTCATTTAAGCATATGAGTTCTTCCCTTTCTAAGCATTCATATTGTCCCACTGAAGTAAGGGTGAGATTAAGTGAGTTCCAAGATTGCTGCCGTAGAGCTCAGCATCTATCAGACCAGAGCCTTCACTGACCTGATGGGGGACACGTCTTGCAACAAGACTTATGTATTGAATGGTATTTGTGTTCATGTGGTGCAAGTTCAGTGCAACCCAGGGGTTCCAAAGGTAGTCAGAAAATTATTGTTATGTACAAAGGGCTATGGGTACAAAGGGCTATAAAATGTTTTATACTGTAAGATGCAAGTCTTTTCGTGATTGCAGCACAGAAAAAATGTAAAGGTATAGAAGAACAGATTTAAAAAATAATTTACAAAAGTATCTGATGTCTGGAGTTCTGCAGTTGAAAGGTTTTATGATAAATTATGCCCTTGATTTGAATAGACTTCAAAATCTGTAGTCAAAAGGAATTACTGTTTTGTGCTACATTGGTAAAATGTCTTATGTGGGTATTTATTTTTATATGGAAAGCTACTGGATGATACAGTATAAAAGTCACAATTTGTTTCATTGTTTTATTGGAAGCAGCTACTCCTTTACAAAGGCAATGACTCTTCAATCAATGAGTATTGTTAGGTGCATTATGGGTAGTTTAAGGGCTTAAGTACCAATTTCATCTTTGCGGGTATGTAACTGCTACAGAGTTAGTTACTAAAGTCTCATTGTTGCTTCTTCCTGCAGAAAAATTGTAAGTGATAAAAATGAACATACGAAATATTGCAGGTCTAAACTAATCTGCTGGTAATGTGTGCTCGCTAGTCTTTTTAGAGAGCAAGGCCAAACCTCTTCTTCCCATGTATAGGGGACAGGACAGCGGGTTGCGGGAGTCTAACTGGTCCTTAGGAGAAAGGATTGTCCAGAGTAGATTGTGGTTCTGCATCTCAAACAAGAAGCTGACAGGGTTGATGCTACAAGGGCTATGATTAGTCTTACAGCCGTGGCCCACCTTGTTCCAGTGGGAGATGAGACCTTTCTTTCCACAGCACTTTCATCATCTTCCATGATGCCCATCCCTTGTGTGTAACGTCCTTCTACACTAGGAATTAAGTGCTGCTTGGCAAAGAGGGCAGCTTTCCCCTTGGAAGATTTTCTTTTTGGGGGAATTTCTCTGCTGCCTGTCTTCTGATGCCTTAAATCCAGTTTATGTACCTGAGAATGCTTTTGTATCTGAGAATAGGCGCTGTAATAATCTGCATTGCTGGTGAGTTGCACATGATGAATGTAAGAAGCAATTAGCATGCCCCACAGAACGTGCCTTCACAGCAAATTTGTTGCACTATAAGCTACTTCTGTTTCAGTGAAAAGCAATCATGCATATAGGAAAGCAAAGAGGTAGACTGCTGTACTTGTGTTTGGGCAAGAAGAATTAAATGCAGAAAGTAGTGAAAAAAAATTGCCAAAAGTTGCTGCATATGTTGCTTGTATAAATGGTAGACATAAGGACAAATTTGTGGTTTGCCAGTTTAATAGGAGCTCATTTGGCTACAAATACGAGAACTACTGAAAACTAAACCCAGGTGGCTACTCCAACACTTAGTTCCTTTTTATATTCCCCTGATATTTTGCAGCTGTGCAATGGTGGATCTGTGACTGATCTTGTGAAAGGATTTCTGAAGAGAGGCGAAAGGATGAATGAACTTATAATTGCTTACATTTTACGTGAAGCTCTGATGGTAAGATAAGCTCTCAGTGAAAGGACTATTCAGCTCATATTTTTGTCTTTGAATGAATGAACATCATGTCCCCACTAACACGGCACACTATCTTATATTATAGCAGTGTTTAATGAAATTAAGGTAATGTGTAATTCAGATGGTTCTTTTTGAACAAACAAGGTAAAGAATAATTCATCTGTTTGTTTCATTATTAGGAGAATGAAAATTGATTTCTTACCATTGATTCCTCTCCTTAGTAAATAGTTCTGTGTCAAAATCGCTTTTCTTTTGAGAAATACCAGAAATATACCCAAAATACTGTTCAGCTTCTTCTGTCTGGATCCAAAATATTTTCATAGCAAAATGATCAACAGATCTAGTGAATTCAAACACTGCTACAAGAAATTTTTTTTTTTTGCTAATGAGGATCAGGTGTCTTTATTTTTCATTTTCTTTTAACCAGAATTTGACTTTCTGCAGTGGAATTTAGGCCTTAGCGGTTTTCTTTGAGTTTATACTCTGAAGGTATAATATATAATGTAGATTTATAGTGCTTTTTTCCTGCTTTTATCTTAAATTTTTTATTTGACATAAAGTGGGGCAATTATAAAATATCTATTCCTCATGGTGTACCAAGTGTTTTTCCAGTAAGAATGACATCTCTGTCGTTTTGGATTAAAAAAAAAAAAATCTGTTTTAAGTTTTTTCATGCTGTTCTGCTACCTTTTTGTTTCTGCAAATGTAGTACAGAGAACAGACCTGTTTGTTAGTAAAAAGTTCATGTTTACATCTCACCTTCCAGGGTCTTCAGCATTTGCATGAAAACAAAACTATCCACCGTGATATTAAGGGAAATAATATCCTTCTGACCACTGAAGGAGGAGTCAAGCTTGTGGATTTTGGTATGTTATGTTTACTTATATAGGCAACCAATTTTGTACATCTGAAGTATGGAAAATAGAGAAACAAATGAGAAAAGATGAATTATATTACATTTTTATTAAGTCTTTGAGTTCTTCATTAAAAATCACTTAGATAACCAAAGTTACTTTTTAACTTGATAGAAATAAAATATTCACAGACTTGGTGTTTTTACAGCTTTGCGTTTTCCAGCCATTTTGCTAATGCTGTTTAGATAGCATGTTAAGAAATAGAAGTTATGATATGGTGGTAGTAAGTGCCAAATGCTTTGGGGCAGACACAGTAAGTGAAGTGACAAAGCAAGTTAATAGGGTTCAAAATAAGGTTGGTTTTTAGTGCCTCCAGGACTGTGCACTGGTTCAGTGAAATGAGGAGCTGATAGGCAAAAGTTTCATGTTGTGTACAAGAGGACTTAGAACTTACTAAATACTGTGAAGAATGGGAGAGCTCCACCTCAGTCACATATACTTCATTAGTTTGATTTGAAACAAAAGAAGAGGTAGTACCTGAAGGCAGTAGAGGGAGGTAATCCCCACTTTCCGAAGTCTGGGAAGACTAACAGGTTACTTTTGGCAAGTCTAAACCTAAGACTTGGCATTAAATGAAAAGAGTCTGTTCAAGTCTGTTAGGCCTAAAGTAATTCTTGAATGCTGTCATTTGGTTTTACCACCAGAAGGCAAAAGCAGAGACACAGAGACACAGGTAAGTGGATGCACCTGTTATTTATCAGCCATACCATAGTGATTTCTCTTAAGAGTGTATTGACTCGTGTTTTATGTAAGGGGGGTATAAACATTTGCAATGCTTGTTATTTTGAAGTATTATCCTCTGGTAGCACACCGTCTTCTAATGTTTAAATTCAATTTATTGGTCACTACTTTACAGCATAGCAGCCAATTGTAAATATCATGATTCCATTCAGAGATGGAAAAATCTTCATTTTTCCTTTAGTCTCCTATTTTGTTAATGAAATTTATTCAATTGATCCATAACAATTGTTTAAACTAATCATTGGATTTTAACTCCCATTAGTGTAGTGTCTTCCTGCCAGTAGATTGTATTTATGCAACTCTCATTACTTCACACACAAAACTCCCACAACTATTGGGGTTACTAATTCTTCTGAAAATTCATGTATTTATGTTCATTATTTTATTCCTTAGATAAAATCTTCCGTTGAAAAGCCTTCAGACTTCCTAAATTATCTGCCATACACTTACTAGTATTTTCTGAAGTTTCTGGAAGTTTTATGTGAGGCAAAATCAATATTTTTGCCCACAGGTTTTTAATGTGCTGTAGATACTAGTTTTTTTAAGGTGCTGAAGGCAATTAGAGCCATGGAGGATCGATGCTTCTGAAAATTAATTCGCTTATGCAGATGTCAAAACATACAAGCTGTAGGGATGAGGACCTGAATTCTTTATTCCCCAGTTACTGCAATCTACTGCTAAGGCTATAATTGAAAAATAATCTTTAAATCTTGTGGGAAAAATTGTGAAGCCAAAGCACAGATGAGAATGTGCGCAAGAAACAAACGTACATACACACATTTTTATGTGGGTTGAAGAGGGGCCTGTAATAATAATTTGAGAGTCCTTCCTCTCAAAGAAATATAGGAACTACACCTTAACGTAGGAATAGATAGAAATTTTCTCTTCCTTTTTTTCTTTTTTTCTTTCCCACCCCCCCAGCCAATCTGCAGCCACTAATGAGTAGTTCCAAATGGGAAAAATTTATACATATTCACAAAATCGTCATGGAAGACGTACCGTTCACCCTTCAGGCTGATGTTTAAGATATTCAGCTGGGATTTGGGAGATTTGTGTCTTCTATTTAAGAGGATTTAAACCCACATTAATCAGATTCCAAGAGTATTTTTTAGCCAGGAATGTGAGTTGATCAAAATCTCTCATGTTGACACTGCTACAGACTGTTGTACATTAACATTTATTGGATCAGGGACTGAAACTCATAGCCATCTTTTTCCTATATAAGCCTGTGAATCTGCAGGCTACAGAATGAGATAGACACGCAGGCACAATCTCTTTTTCTCCCAGTAAATACTCAGTGGAAGCAACATTTTTGTTTGGGGTTGAAGTAATTATTACATGGGGCCAAACAAACAAACAAAAACAACCCAAATAATCACACAGCCCTTTCTAGCATGCACACAGCTTTTCCATTGTGGAGAGGGGAGCAGAGACAGAGGATCAAGAACTCCCTCAACCACTGAACACGCTTGACAGAGGAAGTGAGCCCTTCCCAAGATAATTTTGTCTGTGCCATTCTCCTTCATGCTCGTTGATGATGAGATGTTCCTCAAGAACTCTTTGCTCTCCTCCACTGATACTCTTTATGGTGGTTTTCATTTAAACAGTACATAAAACCTGTGTCTGAAAGGTGGACCTGTGAAGTGCCTTATGGAGGACAATACTAGAAAAGGACCTATTTTCAGTCTGTATGTGTTGTGTGGTCATATAACTTGAACGTGTGTGGGTTTTTTTTTTTTGGTTTTTTTTTGGAAGTACAGTTAGGAACTTTCTAAGAGTCATAAGTGAAAAAACAGTTAACCTTCAGTGAATTAAATCACCTTTGAGAATAGCTTTTCTTTCCTTTGTTCTTTTTGTACTCTGAACTTGGTGTATAGTGTACTACCACTGTGAGTCCTTTCTTGCACTGCAGTCAGCAGTACTGACTTTCCAGAAGCTTCATTTTGTGACACAATTTATAGACATTGTCTTATGGTTGTTGTGTCATAGGCATTTATTTATGCTGTGACCATGGTTTCTGAACACTGCACAGTCTCTAATGGATGACCTTCACAACACTCTTATGAGGAAGTAAATTACTGTAATTCCCAGTTAACGGCTGGGAATCTGAAACTTTGAGAGACTGAGTTGCTTGAGGTGACACAGAAAGTCTGTGGAAAAATTCTCCCAAAATCCAGGCTAACAGTTTGGACTGTTTGTCTTTCGTAGAGGTATTGATAGTTAAAAAGATGAGAGAGACTTGGAAAGAATACCATGGCAGTGCCTCACCCAGATTGCTTTGAAGAGTGAAATTTTTGCTTTCCCTTAAAAGTCTGCTGTAATATTGCTTTATCACCCCAGTAATATTCTTGTATCTAAGAAACACCCAATCCCAGTTGATAGATTAATGATCAAATCAAGTAAATGAATTTATAGCATCTCCACACCAGTGCTTCTGGAGCTCAATTGCTTATCAAGGAGCTGTCAGATAGAAGTTTTAGTTTAAACTGTCCAAGCTACAAGAAGTCTGAAATACTGTTACCAGGGAAGTGTCCTCTGTCCTCACATCCATTCAGTATGATAACTTAGATCAGCAGAGATAAACAAAATCATTCTTTTTTACTACAGATAATGAGTAGCAGCCAAGGAGATCTACTGTAAGCACATCCCATGATCACAGATTCAGTCCCTGAATTCATTAAACTTCTAGATACATTACAAAGTCTATATTTTCCTTGTAAGAGAAGAAGGTTGACTGAAGGCAGTTTTGCTACCTGAACACTTATGGGAATTAGCTGTTAAGCTGTTCTGGTGGAAAACCTTTGGGAAAGGATGTTATGCCTGAGAATCGCAGCAATTATGCTCCAAGCAAGGAGGATCCTCTACCGCATCAATACAAATAATAAATAGCTGCACTACATTCAATTGTAGCTGCTAATTTTTCAGTGTAGGATAGAGATTTGATATAAAAATACACATTTACATTAAAGTAAATGCCCTGCAGCACTTTAAAGGGTGACAGCTATGAAATATATTGTATAAAGAGTTGGAGGCAAGCAAGGTGTGAACCAAATTCCCTTTTTATAAATATTCTTAATTATATTCACAGTTTTTTATTAGTGTTCTGGGAAGGAAATCTTTTATATCTATTTCTCAGATTTCTGGTTGTATGCAGTGAATTGATGTTAAAGTGCCAGATTTTGAAAGAAATTTTAGCCACCAAAGGTGCAGAAAAGCACCTAATAAAATTTGCAAAACTTCTAGCATGTAAATCCAAATTACTTTAATGCTAGATACCTTTTGAAAGACTTGTGACAAATTTATCTGCAGCTTTTACTGCCTAAATATCTTTCAGTGTCTGACCTTGTTTCATGAGTTAAAAAACTGCCCTGAAGTCACTTGCACACATAGCACGCCTCATCTGTAACAAAAATTCATATATTCATCTGCATCTTACAATGTGTAACCAATTTCATGGGGAGCTAAGTGTATAACATCTGCTTATGCTGACAAATACTTGCTTCTTTGAATAGTCCCTCTCAATTCAATTTCTTTTCTTGAAATCAGGATGCTGCACAGGGCCTTTCATGTATTAAATAATGTTAGTCTAAGACACAATTCCCATTTGGAAATTCTGAGATGTCAAATAATGTGCTGTTCCAAAATGGGAGAAAAGAAACTTAGCTGTATTATTATTGTTATTATTTTAACTTTGGTCTGAAGAAGTCCAAGTGACATTTCATTCTGAAAGATTTGACGTGTTTCTGAAATCCCCTGCCATTGCAGTGAGTCTGGGAGCTTGAAAGCCAGAGCTTTTCATGCTTATACATTATTGAAAGAAGGGGAACCTAGAGGACACAACTCCCTATCAGCAAACTAGACAGGTTGCTGACGTGGAGAGTCATGGAGGAAAGAACCATTTTTCCACTAAAAGTTTTGAAACATCTACAGTCATGTGGCAAGTGATTCTTTTAGCTAAAAAGAGGCGAGTGTAATGCTGATGGAAAATTCCTCTTCGGCTATGTTTTTGAGGGTTGACCTTGTAGGCTGATAGTCTTGAACAAGAGTACAGGTAGCTCATACTTCTCTGGGACTGCTGAAGCCTGCTGTCACAGACTAGAAATATCTCAGGATGAGCAGCTGTTGCCTTGGAAATGTCCAGAAAAAATGTAAGTACAAATTGTACTCCACCACTTAGGCAAATGCATAGTTTTCCAGCAGCACTGTTCCTT